GTCCCCTACCGGTTACAAATTCACTGTACGGTATCTTGTCATTATATAACTATATACCAATTATCAAATCAATTTCTTAAAGCATGACGAAAAAAAGTGCGGAAAATTGATTATTTGAGTAAATTTTCCAAAGTCTAAGGACTATAACTCTGCACAAAATCATCAGACCGGAACAAAATTCGAACTTGATCTGTAACTTGTCATGGTAAAATAATACACCAAATATCAAATCGATATCTTCAAGGACAAAGAAAAAATTGTGGAAAACTGATTTGCCGGACTGACGGATGGGCAGACAGACAGACAGACAGACAGACGGAGTGCAAACCTAAAGTCTCCTTCGACTTCGTCGGTAGGGGACTAATAACAACAGCAATAATCTACGTATGCAGCCGTGTTCAGTTCTTCTACAAGACATTTAGGATTTTGAAGACTCTGAACAACACTGTCTCATTTCGAAATGTGAAGCCAATGGCTGCAAAACCTGTGGAATTTTAATAACAGATGCTCAATTCACTAACAATTTAACTTAATGCTTATTTTATCAGAAGTTACGATGATCTGAATTGTAAATCAACAAATGTCGTCTACGGATTAGAGTGTAACCTTTGCGGATTGGTATACGTCTGTGAAACAAAAGGAAGGCTAAATAAACGTATGTGCGGCCATAGATCAGACATCAACCACAGTGCAAGCGACATTGTTTACCAGCATTTTAACCAGCCTGATTATTCAATCCTTTCTATGCAAGTTCGCAACATCGAAAAAATATACCACATGACTAACAATCCTCATCTTGCAACACCTCTCCGTAGACAAGAAGAAGACTACTGGATTCGACAATTGGGAACTGCGACACCATATGGTTGCAATGACAAAATTGATGGTATAGGTATTCCATCTAGTCCTTCCTGTAGCTCGGTGAATGTGATGAACATTTTCTACTCTACTCCTCGACGTAGACGCAGTCATGGTCGTCGTCATTATACATCACCTACTCTCCATGATGTCTCTATTAATGACCTGCTGCCATTTATACAAAAGCCGTTAGGTATTCGTCACATTCGCACGAAGCTTTACCCTTTTCAAAACTTCATTCTCTGTACAACTTATGTTTGGAAACCACTGTTACTAACCCTCATTCAAACCAATACAAACTTACAGCTATTATTTCGGATATTGCAAGTCACAGACTTTTCAAATCGAGGGTTTCTTATCGTCGAGTTGCAAGATGCGAGTTAAGTTACGACGGTCGAGTTGCGAGTTACAAAAATATTGTGTTTCTCTAATTTCTTAAAAATTATATATATAAATGGTCTTATATATAAACGGTCGTGCCGTTTGATTTTTGAAACAGAATTTTCAGGTTTGCTTCGCATTTAATAAACAAAGCATACATGTACCCGAACTTAGTTATACACTGCATGAGGAAGGGTCCCGGTATTTTGATTGTAGGATTTGAAAGAGTTATGTGATACATATTTATAAGAGTCTATATGTTGCACGCACGCTTAAATTTCTTTCATGAGAGCGACATTGTTCATTTTCTAAAATAAAACAGGATATAATGTAGATATAAGACAAAATGTATACCGTACTGAACAAATCAAGCATAAGAAAAAAATAAATCATGTAGACAAATGAATTATACTTGCAAATTATCGACATCTCACAGAATATGGAACTGTATAAGCTTAACGTAAATACTTATCAAAGGTACCAGGCTTATAATATTTTCTACGCCAGACGCGCGTTTCGTCTATACAAGACTCATCAGTGACGTTTGAATGAAGGATATTCATTAGCATACCAAGTGCTATATCTTCGTCTTTCGCAAAGGCTTAGGGTGCATGATATAGGCACAATTGCACATTTAACTTAGGAATATATCTCATGAATTTTCATTTTAATATCATGCACAGCCTGTCACAAGAGCACCTAAAAAAGGTTTTACCCGGGTAAGTATGGCATCAAGTTGTACTTTCATTACTTAATTGATAGGGAGTGCTGCTGGGGTTCTGTTACCCCACCCTTTTCAATATTTTAGATTTTAATAAATGTGGATAGTGTCCACATGTGGACACAGATGATGCCCCCGCTTGCATATCATATAGTTATAAAGGGACATAACTGAAGAACGGTAAAAGTGACGCTACCCAAATTTGAACTTGATCTGAGTTTTGTGGTAATAAGCGTTGTGTGTAAGTCTCATAACATTTGGTTGAGGCTAACTTAAGTAGAGAACAGAAACTAAAAATTCAGCATTTTTTCTATTTGTAAACACGCATAACTCTAGAACGGTTGTGTATAAGTTTTATTACATTTGGTTGAGACAAACTAAAGTTAGAGAACGGAAACGAAAAATTCAGCATTTTTTATGTTTATAAAGGGACATAACTCAAGAATGGTAAAAGTGTCGCCACCAAATTTCGTACGTAATCTGTATTATGTAGTAATAAGCATTGTGTATAAGTTTCATAACATTTGGTTGAGGCAAACTAAAGTTAGAAAACGGAAACAAAAAAATTGTACTTGATCTTAGTTTTGTGGTAATGAATATTGTGTAAAGGTTTCATAATGTTTGGTTGGGGCAAACTTAAGTTACAGAATGGAAACTAAATATTTTGCAATCCTTCGATTTATAAAGGGGCATAACTCAATAATGTTTAAAGTGACACTACCCAAATTCAACTTGATCTGTGTTTTATCAGTGGAAGTCAAAATTAAACATTGCATTGTATTAAGCATTGATTGTAGTTGATTCAACTATAATCATGGACAAAGGAACATAACTCCAATTTTAATAAAATGCTCCGCTGGGCGCAGCTTGATACGACCGCAGAGGTCGAACCCTGAACAGTTGGGGCAAGTATGGATACAACATTCAAGCTTGATACAGCACTGAATTTGGATTGTGATTAAATATTTGACACAGCATAGGTTTCTGACACAGAATGAATGTGGTCTAAGAACTTAATTTTTTTTTAATTTACCTATTCAAACCATATCATTATTATTTGCTTTTATATATAAATCAGAAATAACCAATTTAAATCAATTGGAAACACAACTTCAAAATACTGATGGATTCAGTCAGGCAATGGATTAGACACGAGAAAGAAGACGTACAGATACTCTTTCCAAATGGATTAAAGCTGTGAGGTCGTTGATACAAATCAGAATTAAGAAACTGAATGGGTCTATTAATACCCATGTTACATCAATCTTTAAAGACCCAAATGTTGCAAAACACTTGTCCTACCTCCATGACAAATATTGTTGTCCCCGCAGATATAGCCCCAAACAACATCGTTTTGTGTGTAAATCACATTACATATACTGCTTGATAAATGAATTAGGTATTGACAATTCACTTGGAAACTCAACATATACACTTACTAAAGAGGAAATCCTGGATAATCATAGGTCTGTTTTATGTTCCTTTGGATTTTCAAACAAAGATGAAGAACTGGATCTTCCATCACTGTATTGGATACCTAAACTACATATAAAGTGTCCTTACAAACAACGGTGTATTGCTGGGTCTTCCAAGTGCTCCACGAAACCTCTTTCTAAATTATTAACATCAATTTTATCAGCAATCAAAGCCAGGCTTCAAAGTTATTGTGAAACTACCTATTCTAGAGGTGGCGTGATTCAGATTTGGATACTGAAAAAATCCAAAGATCTTTTAGAGTACAAACAATCGAAGACTCTTTCATCTTACAATAGTATTGAAACATTTGACTTTTCTACACTTCACACAAATATTCCCCATTCCAAACTAAAAGACAAATTGAAAGAGTTGGTACTGCTTTGTTTCACAAAAAAGAATGGCCAACGTAGATACAAGTATCTTTTCTTTGGGAGGGATAAATCCTACTTTGTAAAAAATCACTCTGATTCAAACAAAAATTCTCTGAAACTGACATTATCAAGATGCTTGATTTCTTGATTGACAACATATATGTTACATTCGGAGGACGTGTTTTTCAACAAACAATCGGCATTCCCATGGGAACAAACTGTGCCCCTCTTCTTGTCGACTTCTTTCTTTATTCATATGAGGCTGACTTCATACAGGAACTTCTTAGGAAGAAAGAAAAGAAGTTAGCAGTATCCTTTAACTTTACTTTCCGCTATATAGATGATGTTCTCTCACTAAATAATTAACATTTTTGTGACTATGTTGAACGCATCTATCCCATCGAACTTGAGATAAAGGATACACCAGATACAGTTAAGTCTGTCTCATATCTTGACTTACATCTAGAAATTGACAATGAGGGTCGGTTGAAAACAAAACTTTATGACAAAAGAGATGATTTCAGCTTCCCAATTGAGAACTTTCCATTTCTATGTAGCAACATTCCAGCAGCGCCTGCATACAGAGTATATATCTCCCAGTTGATACAATATTCCAGGGCTTGTATTTCCTATCATGATTTCCTTGATAGAGGGTTGCTGCTCACAAGGAAGCTATTAAACCAAGAGTTCCAAGTGGTGAAGTTGAAATCATCCCTTTTTTAGTTTTACGGACGCCATCACGAGTTGGTTGACTATCATGAAATATCCGTTTCACAGATGATAGCGGATATGTTCCTAATGTCATAACAACAATCCCGTCCCCTTTTCGGAATGTGACCTACCGAATTAGACTTATTACCGGGTTTGTACTAACATGAGCAACACGATGGGTGCCACGTGGAGCAGGATCTGCTTACCCTACCGGAGAACCTGAGAACACCCCCAGTTTTTGGTGGGGTTCGTGTTGCTTAGTCTTTAGTTATCTATGTTGTGTTTGGTGTACTGTCATTTGTCTGTTAGTCTTTTTCTTTTTTAGCCATGGCGTTGTCATTTTATTTGCGACTTATGAATTTGAATGTCCCTCTAGTATCTTTCGCCTCTCTTTAATTGCATATAAGAGAGTACTGGTTCCTGGAACGTCGGAAGTACCAAAACAGGTACTTCAGATCTGAGAAACAAGCAAAATGAAACAATTTTTATTTCTATTTTTTATTATTCAAAATTATAAGTCAAAAAGTGTTCTACAATGATCACAAGTCATTCAGTTTTCATATGATACACAAAAAAAACCCAAAATATTCTATATATTTTGAAAGCTACGACCATGATACAATACAGCACAAAACAATTCTCCACAAACTTCATGAATATGGCATCAGAAACAACCTCCGTCAATGGATGACCAAGTTCCTAACAGACAATTGCAAATGAGAGTAGCCCTAGAGGGTGAAATGTTCGAAACGAGTCAAAGTACACTCTGGCGTACTTCAAGGCACAGTTCTGGGCCCCAAACTATTTTTTGTCACATAAATGACCTCCCTGATGCAGACAACTGCTTACTATACTGCTATACAGGGAAATCAGCAGCCAAAAAGACCACCTCAGCCTCCAACAAGACCTCAAACACCTTGGAGTATGGGCAAAAAACTGGGAAATGAAATTTAATGCAAAAACATACTATGTTGTACCTGTCCTTAGTCAGGAATCTGATGTTCAGTAGTTGTCGTTTGTTGATGTGGTTCATAAGTGTTTCTCGTTTTTTATATAGATTAGACCGTTGGTTTTCCCGTTTGAATGGTTTGACACTAGTAATTTTTGGGGCCCTTTATAGCTTGCTGTTCCGTGTGAGCCAAGGCTCTGTGTTGAAGACCGTACTTTGATCTATAATGGTTTACTTTTATAAATTTTGACTTGGATGGAGAGTTGTCTCATTGGCACTCATACCACATCTTCTTATAACTATATATTATGTCCATGAACAAATCATCAAGTTAATTCTACCAACTAAGTGGACATATACTAGAAGAGGTAAACACCAACCCATACCTCGGACTCCAAATTTCAGACAACCTAAAATGGAGAACACATATAGAAAACACCAGCAAAAAAGCAAGTTCTACTGTAGGATTTCTCAGACGAAATTTACAACATTGCCCAAAAGAATGTAGGAAAAACGCATACAAATCTTTAGTAAGATCAATTATGGAATATGGAGCCATCATTTGGAACCCATATACAAAGAAAGAAATAGACCAACTAGACCAACAAGAAAGGTTACAAAGAATGGCAGTGCGTTTTATCAATAAAGACTATAAACCAAGAGATGATGGATGCACCACTAGAAGACCGACGAAAAAAACCCATTTTTCTACAGGGTGGTTGAAGGTCAGGTACCAGCGATGTAGCCTTCTGATCATATTATCCAAAACCAAGGAAGACGCCAAATCAAACCAAAAATATTCCAAGACTGTATTCCATCTAACATTGTGGAAAGACAATCCCGAATAAATTCAAAAACAGTCAAGATCCAGCACTTATCAACCGACCAATTAAAAAACTCATTTTTCATCAGAACTGCTGTCGACTGGGACAACCTTGAAGACAGCTGCACTATATAGCCGCACTCAGAACGAATTGCGTTCTCCATCCCCGTTGTAATAAAGCCACATTGGGATTCTACTACGTACCCATACAGATACAGATACAGATGCCATGCGTAATAACTATTTTGTTTTAAATATGTACTACTTTCTGGTATGTTCTTTCAGACAAGCACAAATAAGGGGTGTTACACCATTAAATGGAAGTCACAAACTTATTTAGTTTGAAGTCATATGAAACGAGTTTCTTCAAATCATAATGTTAAGAAAATCATATAACCAATCCAAATATATTCTAAACTAAGTCCTCTATGCACGATGTTATTACAATTATTACAAATCCATAACATATAATACACAAAAAAAAAATACTTCATTCAGTAAAAACTTTCCTTGCTAATTAACTTTCGTGTTTTAATGCTGAAGTTTACCGATCGTGACCTTTATAAATAATCAACACAGACAGTCACAGAATCATGGAGCATGATGATAGACATGCAATGTCTATCTTTTGTTTTAATTTTTCATGCTTCTATTTGTTAAACATTGTCATAACAGTTGCTACATGATTTGGTTCTTTCAAAATCAATTAACACTAATTACCTTCCAGCACATGTTTGTTGAACCAGTTACCAACACTAGTAGCTGAGACCCCTGACTTCGTATCTTTCAAGCAGGGCTATCATCACTTACTTTTTAACTTGTTAGGGGCCAAAATGAAAGTAAGTTCTAATGAGGATTAGAGCTGTGCTGGTTGGGTGTATGCTGAGGGACTGCTACGGTAGCCAGATTGGTCTAATCTGAAGAACCGAAATACAATTTTGAAATCTTTTTCTCAATGTCTTTCTTTCAGCCTATTATTGATATCTGGGACTAATAGGTAATGTATAAGTCCTAGCTGTTATCTTATTCTTATCAGTTCAAAACTTTAACTTCTAAAGCATAATTATCCAAGAAGACAGTGCTTTGTAACCTGTCATAATTATCTAAGAAGACAGTGCTTTGTAACCTCTCTTTTAATCACAGATTTCCCCTCACATTTGAAATGTGTGGTTGCCGAAGTTCAATCTAGAGGTCTTGTGGTTGTCACTGCATATGAAAAAGCTATTGGCGAATTAGAGTACGAAAGATAATAATTCAATAGAAGCACATTTCTAAAGATTTTGATAAGATAAAGGATTTTCTGTCAAAAGAAAGTTCATGTATATGTGTTTTAAAGTAAAACTTAGCCATTCAAATTTATTAAATATATTAAACTTCATTTTTTTAATTTAAAGTATCATATGACTTTAAATGACAATAAAGTTGTGATTTGAACATAAGGAAGAACACCAAATACAAATTCTGCTATTAAACCAAGGGTAAAAGAAATTAAGATTCATCGAATAAAATTTGTCACCACCTGCTTGGATTGAGATCAATGTTAATATACCACAATAATCATATGTATATATAAAGTATTGCAATTTAAAAAAAAAAACATAAATAAAATTATACAATGATATTAACTTAAGTTTGACTCATCGCTGATTCAATAAGTGCCCTTCCATCTGTATAATTTCCACTAATGCACATCAACTTTAATAGTATATACCTGGTATGTTTAACTTCATTTCAGTTATAGACACTTTCATGTTCTAGTAAACTCTTAATTTTTTATTGTGTTGATTTTTCGTATCACATTCTCAATAATTTCATCTTGGTCGACAAACTCTAAAATATGTGGCGCTTGCATTAAAATTCCTAAAGTTCCACCAATGGTAACAATCAAGAAGACATAAAACAAAAGTCTGTCTATTACCAAGGCTACATACCGCCAATCATCTAAAACCTGAAATGAAATAAATAAATGAAAGACAGCTATGTCCAATTTAACTTTTTGAATGATCTCTTCTGTAGTATATATAGACAAACATCATTCCAGAAAAGATAATTAAAAAACTTAAATTGGACATTTTTGTTTGCAATTAAAAAATAAAATGCTTCGCTGAGCGAAGCTGGATAGGACCGCAGAGGTCCGACCCTGAACAGTTGGGGAAAAAATGGACACAATATTCGCGCTTGATACAGTTCTGAATTTGGATTGTAATTAAATATTTGACACATAATAGGTTTCTGACACCAAATAACTGTAGTCAAAGGACTTAGAATTGGTTATATGATTTGAATTTATATTCAATTTTTTGCTTTTGTGACATTATGCTGACCCCCCCCCCCCCCAAAAAAAAAAAAAATTACACCCCTTTTTTTTTGCTTTTGTGAAATACACTATGCTGTTGTGTATTGACCCCCCCTTTTTTTTGCAAAAAAAAAAATATTTGATAAAATTTTCTTTTTATTTAATTTCTGAAATCTGAAATGAAAAAAAAAATGGCCCCCCACTCCCCCCCCCCCCCCTTTTCCAAAAAAGAATTCTTTTCCTCAAGATATGGTCATAATCTCATTTCAAATTTCCAATGGAGTTTGCAACCATAATTAACAATTTAAATACATCATAAAAGTCTTAAAATAGAAAATGACATACATAATCATTGCTAAAATTAATATTCCTTTAATAGTAACTTCTAAGAATAATTTGACAGCTAATCACCTCAAGACAATGCAAAATTTCTTTATACATAATTTCTAAGCAGTGTAAGGGAGGTAATCCAAACATACACAACATTGTACTTGAAATGTGTTTGGATAACCTCCCTTACACTGCTTTTAAATTGTCCATTTACCTGGAAACCTTTGTTTTTTGCCCATAATTCCTAAACAGTTTGAGCCATAACCCCCCAAAGTCAATCCTAACCATCCCTTTGTGGTAAGGAAACTTGTGGTATAACTTCAGAGATTCATACACTGTTCCACAAGTTATTGTCTGGAAACTAGAAAAATGCTTATTTGGGCCCTCTTTTGGCCCCTAATTCCTAAACTGATAGGACGATAACTCCCAAAATCAATCATTATCTTCCTTTTGTGGTTATAAACCTTGTGTTTAAATTTCATAGATTTCTATTTACTTATACTAAAGATATTGTCTGGAAACCAAATGTCTTCAGACGACAGCGACGACGACATGATACCAATATACGACCGCAAAATTTTTTGCGGTCGTATCATTACTACCTTAAATCTTTCAACTGACCCATAACAATACATATGTGTATAAAAATTTTAGGCAGCATGAAGTTGAATTAAAGTCTTGAAGAATTTTAAATAGAAGTGAAAGATTGATTGATTGTTGTTTGCTTTACGCCGCATTAGCACAAAAAGGTGAAAGACACCAAAGGGATATTCATACTAATAAGTCAAAAACAAACTGACAATGCCATGCAAATAAACAGCTGTGCCAAGAGCGCACGATAAACCCTTATTGAGCATACAGAAATTGCGAGAATTAAATGGGATATTTTGAAGGCATTTAATCAAGAGAAAATACAATGGCTCTGTAGAGAAACATGCCCAAGGATATCGGTTTTTAAATCAAACAGTTTGTTATGTTCACCAATTCCAACAATTATGTTAAAGTTTCCACTAAATCAAGATATGGGACAATATGTGAAATAAAATTAAAATAAAATTATTAAATTTTTGACACAGCATAGGTTTCTGACACAGAATGAATGTGGTCAAAGAACTGAACAAGAGGCTCTAAAGAGACTGTGTTGCTCACCTGCATCTTCAACAATAGCCACTTTTCAGTAACTAGAGGCTCTCAAGAGCCTGTGTCACTCACCTGTTTCTACTGTGGTTTTGGAAATAATGTAAAATAAGGTTAAAATCATAATAAATAGTATAAGGTACCCTAATAATGATTGAGGCCAAGTTTGGTTTACTTTGGCCCAGTAGTTAAATTTAAAGCAGGTCATCCCATTGTAGTCTTACAATAGTTACTGAAGACCCCTTATCATTATTTAAATTAGTTTTCAAGTTGTGACCATTTTAAATTGTCTTTTTACAGTTTTCCCATAGACTTCTATTGTAAACCCCTATGTTCTATTTTAAGCCATGGCGGCCATGTTTGTTGGATGACAGGTCATCAGATACATTTTTCAGTCAAGATAACCCATTGAAAATTGTGGCTTAGTTTAATTCTATTTGGTCCAGTAGATTAAGTGGAGAAGATGTTTGTAAAAGATTACAAAAATTTCGAAAAAACTGTGAAAAAATTGACTTTAAAGGGCAATAACTCCTGAAGGGGTCAATTGACAATTTTGATCGTGTTGGACTAATTTGTAGAGCTTACTTTGCTGAACATTTTTGCTGTTTACAGTTTATCTCTATCTATTATAATATTCAAGATAATAACCAAAAACTGCAAAATTTCCTTAAAATTACCAATTCATGGGCAGCAACCCAACATCAGGTTGTCTGATGCGTCTGAAAATTTCAGGGCAGATAGATCTTGACCTGATGAACATTTTTATCCCAAGTCAGATTTGCTCTAAATGCATTAGTTTTAGAGATATAAGCCAAACTGCATTTTACCCCCCCCCCCCCCCCATGTTCTATTTTTAGCCATGGCGGCCATCTTGGTTAATGGGCGCGGTCATTGGATACATTTTCAAACTAGATACTCTGAGGATGATTTAGGCCAAGTTTGTTTAAATTTGGCCCAGTAGTTTCAGAGGAGAAGATTTTTGTAAAAGATTACAATAAAATGCTTCGCTGAGCGCAGCCAGATACGTCAGAGAGGTCTAACCATGTACAGTTTGGGCAAGTTTGGACACAATATTCAAGCTTGATACTGTCTGAATTTGGATTGTGATCAAATTTTTGACATAATATAGGTTTCTGACACAAAATAAATGTGGTCAAAGATCTTAAAAATTTGAAATGGGACATTTAATTTACCTAGTATGGTCTGATATCTAAAATCTAACAACATGGTTAGATTCAGCATATAAAATAAAATGCTCCGCTTGGTGCAGCTTGATATGACTGCAGAGGTGGAACCCTGAACAGTTGGGGCAAGTATGGACACAACATTCAAGCTTGATACAGCTCTGAATTTGGATTGTGATTAAATATTTGACACAGCATAGGTTTCTGACACAGAATGAATGTGGTCTTAGAACTGAAACATTTTTAATTTACCTATTATGGTCCAATATCCAAAATCTAAATACATGGTTAGATTCAGCATATCAAAGAATCCAAAGAATTCAATTTTTGATGAAATCAAACAAAGTTTAATTTTGGACCCTTTTGACCTCAATGTGGACCAATTTGATAACGGGGCCCAAAAATCAAAGTACATGGTTAGATTCAGCATTTAAAAGAAACCCATATATTCAATTTTTGTTGAAATCAAACAAAGTTAAATTTTGGACCCCAACTTGGACCAACTTGAAAACTGGGCCCATAATCAAAAATCTAAACACATGTTTAGATTCAGCATATCAAAGAACCCCAAGAATTAAAATTTTGTTAAAATCAAACTAAGTTTAATTTTGGACCCTTTGGACATTAATGTAGACCAATTTGAAAAACAGGACCCAAAATTAAAAATCTAAATACACAGTTAGATTTGGCATATCAAAGAACCCCAATAATTCAATATTTGATGAAATCAAACAAAGTTTAATTTTGGACACTTTTGACCTCAATATGAACCAAAATTGACCCCCCATAATTTCTTTTTGTTAACCCCCCCCCCCTTTTCCCCCCAAAAATTTCTTTCCCTCAAGATATGGTCATAATCTCAATTCAAATTTCCAATGGAGTTTGCAACCATAATTACCCATTTAAGTTTACCATAGTGCTAACTTAATCTATTTTATAATAGAATTTAAAATATGGTGTCAAATCTTTCATATGGATTTTTTTGTAAAAAAAAATGATGCAACATTTGCAGATATTTTTACTTGTCTTCCTTTATAAATATGCATTTCTTTAAACATAATTTAAAAGCAGTGTAAGGGAGGTAATCTAAACGTTGTATTTGGATTACCTCCGTTACACTGCTTTTAAATTGTCTTAATTGTTCATTAACCATTACTTTATATATAATTTAAAAGCAGTGTAAGGGAGGTAATTCAAATGATGCATTTGATTTATCTCCCTTACACTGCTTTAAATTATGTTTTGTACTAAAGTATTTGTCCATTAACCAGGACAACCTTGTTTTTCCCTTTTTGCCCCTTATTCCTAAACGGTTTGAGCCACAACCCCCCAAAACAAATCCTAACCATCCCTTTGTGGTATGGAAACTTGTGGTATAATTTCAGAGAGATCCATACACCGTTCCACAAGTTATTGTCTGGAAACTAGAAAATGCTTATTTTTGGCCCCTTTTTGGACCCTAATTCCTTAACTGTTAGTACCATAATCCCCAAAATCAATCCCAACCTTCCTTTTGTGGTATTTAACCTTATGGTAAAATTTCATAGAGATCCATTCAGTAAAGTTATAGTGCGAAAACCAATGTATCATCGGACGACGACGACGACGACAACAACAACTTCATACCAATACACGACCGCAAAAAATGTATAAAAACACCAAAAATTTAATTTTAGTTGAAATCAAACAAAGTTTAATTTTAGACCCTTCAAACCTTAATATGGACTTATTTGAAAACAGGGCCCAAAATAAAAAATCTAAATGCACAATAAGATTCAGCATATCATACAACCATATAATTTAGTTTTTGATGAAATCATACAAAGTTTAATTTTGGACCCTTTTGACCTCAATGTAGACTAATTTAAAAATGGGGCCCAATATCCAAAAAAGTAATACAAGGTTAGAACCCTCAAAAATAAAAGACTTTAAATTAATCCCCTTGAAATTGGTTAAAAGATTTGTATTTATTTTCAATTGAAGATTTCTTGCTATTGTGCAATACTGTGCAATTTAAGATTTCTTGCTTTTGTGCAATACTGTGCTATTGCGCAATACTGTGCAATCATTTGAAATTTCAAAAATTTTGAAGAAAAAATGACCCCCCCAAAAAAAATTGGAAAAAAAAATCCCCCAAAACTTTTTGAACCCCCTCCCCCTTGGAGTTATTACCCCCAAATTAATCCCAGCCTTCCCTTTGTGGTATGGAACCTTGTAGTACAATTTTAGACAGATCAATACACTTAAACACAAGTTGCTGTCTGGAAACTAGAAAAATGCTTGTTTTTGGCCCCTAATTCCTGAAACATTGGGACAATTACCCCCAAACTCAATCCCAGCCTTCCCTTTGAGATATTGAACCTTGTGGTACAATTTCTGAGAGATCTATACACTAACACAAAAGTCATTGTCCGGAAACTACAAAAATGATTGTTTTTGGCCACTAATTCCTAACCTATTGGTACCATAACCCCCAAAATTTAGGTATTGAACCTTCTGGTAAAATTTCTTTTTGCAGATTCTAACAGAACACAATTAATTCTTACCTATAAATACCATATACGCTAGACATAACAATGTACGCTAAAGGATACGATATACCCTTCACGCTTCAAACAAAATATTCCAAATGATGATTGTAGTCAAGTTTGGTTAAATTTGGCCTAGTAGTTTCAGAGGAGAAGACTTTTGTAAAAGTAAACAGTGGACGACAGATGCCAAGTGGTGAGAAAAGTTCACTTGCCTCAGCTTGTAAATATATATACATCAAATGTAGCGATTTTAATTTTATATAAAAGAACAGAGTTCCAATGTCCCTGCCTTGCACATACTTTATCTATCCAAGGTACAAGGGCAATAACTAAAAAAAACTTTTTATAAATACCTTAGAGAAATGAAGGCTTCAAACCAAATACAATTCAATTTCAGATATAATTAATATTTCCAAGTGGCATAACTCGTTAAAAATATTTGATCAGCACTTACTTTCAAACAATTGTACACATGAGAGCGCTAACGATACAATTTTCAATATAATTAATGTTTCCAAGGGCATAAATCTTAAAAATAATTGATCTGCACTGATTTTCAAACTCATCCAAGACATTGCTGATATAAACCTATGATATAACTTTTATAAAACTCTGGCAAGAATTTTACAAATGAGAGCGCTAAAAATGCAACTTTCCATATAATTAATGTTTCCAAGGGGTATAACTCTTTTAAAAATAATAGATTGGCACTGATTTCTGAACTTGTCCAAGACATTGCTGATAAAAACCTATGATATAAGTTTCATTAAAATCTGACAAGAATTGTACATGTTAGAGCGCTAACAAGACCTGGCGGACAGATGCACGGATTGACAGAGGGACGGACGCCCCATATTTCTATGTTCCCCGCAACACGTTGCACAGTGGACAAAAAGGATATAACTCAAGAACAATGTGACTTAAGTCACCCAAATTTGAACTTAATCTGTGGTTGGTGGTGTTAAGCATTCTGTATAAGTTTCATAACATTTGGTTGAGGCAACCTAAGTTTAGAGTGCGGAAACAGCAAATTAGCCAATTTTTATACGACGGCAAAAAATTTTTGCGGTCGTATATTGGTATGACGTTGGCGTTGTCGTCGTCCGAAGACACATTGGTTTTCGCACTCTAACTTTAGTTTAAGTGAATGGATCTCTATGAAATTTTACCATAAGGTTCAATACCACAAAAGGAAGGTGGGGATTGATTTTGGGGGTTATGGTACCAACAGTTAAGGAATCAGGGGCCAAAAAGGGGCCAAAAATAAGCATTTTTGTAACTTCCAGACATAACTTGTGTGTTAGTGTATTGATCTCTCTGACATTGTACCATAAGGTTCAATATCACAAAGGGAATGCTGGGATTGATTTTGGGGGTAATTGCCTCCAAATTTTAGGAATTAGGGGCCAAAAAGGGGCAAAAAACAAGCATTTTTCTAGTTTCATGACAATAACTTGTGTGTAAGTGTATGAATCTCTCTGACATTGTACCACAATGTTCCATATCACAAAGGGAATGCTGGGATTGATTTTGGGGGTAATTGCTTCCAAATTTTAGGAATTAGGGGCCAAAAAGGGGCAAAAAACAAGCATTTTTCTAGTTCCATGACAATAACTTGGGTGATAGTGTATGGATCTTTATGAAATTGTACTACAAGGTTCCATATCACAAAAGGAAAGCTTGAATTGAGTTTGAAGGTAATTGCCCAAAACGTTTAGGAATAAGGGGCCAAAAAGGGGCCAAAAATAAGCATTTTTCTAGTTTCCAGTCAATAACTTATGTTCAAGTGTATGGATCTCTCTGAAATTGTACTGCAAGGTACCATACCACAAAGGGAAGGCTGGGATTGAGTTTGGGGGTGATGAATCATAAGGGGGTTCAAAAAATTTGGGGGGGGGGGATTTTTTCTCTCGTTTTTTTCTTTAAAATTTTTCATTTTAAATTGGTTATTTCTGATTTATATATAAAAGCAAATAATAATGATATGGTTTGAATAGGTAAATTAAAAAATTTAAGTTCTTAGACCACATTCATTCTGTGTCAGAAACCTATGCTGTGTCAAATATTTAATTACAATTCAAATTCAGTGCTGTATCAAGCTTGAATGTTGTGTCCATGCTTGCCCCAACTGTTCAGGATTCGACCTCTGCGGTCGTATCAAGCTGCGCCCCAGCGGAGCATTTTATTCCATTTAAAAAGGGACATTACTCGAGAATGGTGAAAATGATGCCACCCATATTCGAACTTGATCTGTGTATGGTGATAATAAGCATAGTGTGTAAGTCTCATAATATTTGGCTGAGGGAAACTAAAGTAAGAGAACAGAAACTCATTTTGGGATGCATGTCCAAGCGAATAAGGGTAAATCTTAATGCCCCTCGACCATATAATTCTGTGAAAAGTGGATCAACTGGCAGGAAAAGCTCTCATGTTCATGTCCTTTGGTCAATAGGAGGATAGTGGTCTTATAGGCATTCACACCACATCTCTTTATCATTATAACTGTCATTCATCATATATTATATACTAATGTACCAAAAAACAGAGAGGTGTTAAACACACAAGGGTTTTGAGTTATAAATATCTTATTTTTTAAGTTTAAATTCTTACTGTTTCAAATTCATTCTCAGTTTCCAGATGGCACGTTATAAAACTTAAAGCTTCTGTAGCTTTATGTAATTCAGCTGTAACTCTCTTTGGGAACTGTTCAGCATTCTCATCACTCATTTCACAATTGATTTGGTTTGGACTTAGTCTGCAACTTGGATGATGGATCTCCGTTAACTCTAACAAACTGGATTGTCTACTACTTGAGACTTGATGATGCTCTGGAGAAAAATAGCTTGTTTGATGAACTTGCTGTTGTTTCCCTTGATTTGCTTGATTAGTTGTAGTCTGTTCATGTAAGTGACGCCATCTGATATCATGATTTGGACGTTCAAGAAAAAGTAGTTTTGGAAGCATGTATAAAAATACAAATCGCACCCAGTAAGGCATTTTGTGTGTTCTAGGAGTTCTATAATTTCTATTAATCACAACTACAGTTAAACAAATAGCAAATATGTTCATTATAAAGGTAAATAGTAGATATTTTGCTATTAATGGTATCTTTAATGATGGAGGTAGAATTTTTGAAATCAGCAATAAAAATACAACCAATGCAAGTAAAATTGAAATGCAAAGAGTTATCTTTTCTCCTGCATCAGCTGGTAATGCAAAAACACATATACTTACAAAGGATATAAGAACACATGGTATTATCAAATTCACTGTATAAAACAATGTTTTCCTTCTTAGAATAAATTTGAAAACAATAAGATATTTGTAATCATTGGATTCTGTATCATTGATTCTTTGAATTTTGCCAGGAAATTCAATTATATCCCAGGTTCCACTTTTTAGGTAGTCAGTTGGATCAACAAAATCCATATTCATATAAAACTTAAATTGTAATTGGTCTCCTTTAAATGTCCATGATCCAAATTTCATTTCACATATTTGCTGGTCAAAAGGAAAATATTGCACATCAATTGTACAAGAACTTTTATATATTGCTGGAGGTACCCAGTAGTGATCACCACTATAATTCAGCACTACATTGGATTTGTAAGATACTTCATAATTTCCATCAGCACTACAACAGAAAAAGTAAATAATGTATAAAGGATTTTAATGAACAACTAAATGTAACAATAAGCTCAACAGCCCTATCAATCCAGGCTGTGGACAGGAATGTTGTTTCATTATGATTGTTAAGTTATAATATGAAACTAGAGGAAAACATAGTGTTAATTGAAATTTGTCACAATCAAAATTAACCTCTTTTTTGCCACCAGAAACAACATACATGTAGACCCAAATAATGGTTTGAGACTCAGGTGATCAAGAATGCTATTTTAGCTTATCAAATCTATGTACAGGTAATAACATATTATCTGTTTCTGTTTCTGCTGAAGTACTTTTTATTCCTTTGAATTTTGACAGAACAAGCATTCTGAGAGTATTGCATGGCAATACATAGTCCCCTACCTGGTAAAAATTCGTTTTACTGGAACAAAATGCTAACTTGTTCTATAACTTGTCATGGTGTAAACAAAAAGTAAATATCATGTCAATATCTTCAAGCATGACTAAAAACAGTGTGGAAAACTGATTATATGAGTGAAAAAAACATTAGATATGTTTAATAGTTCTCTAAAATTAGATATGATGTAATACAGTGTATATCTATTTTCAAATTATAATCAAATATAATTAATAGTTCCAAATATTTTTTCTTTCATTTGTCACAAACTAATATCGATTTGTAACTTATCTTTAAAATGTCAACAACATCTATCTACACAATGTAATGTATTGAAATATATACATTAATAAAAATAGATTATTATCTAATTAAAGGATTTCTCTTCATAAATTTTTCTTTATATATATATATAGCATTCAGAAAATTAAGTTTATACTAAATAACAAACAAACCTGCTAAAAAATTCTTCAAATAATTTAACAATGAAAGTCTTTTAAAAAAAATGAGTTATCTCCCTTTGTACAGAAATATGGTTTAACATACACTACAAACCAGTAAAGTCTGAAATGGCCTATATATGTACTCGACTGTACTGATTTTTACTCGACCAGTCTGAATTGGTCTGAATTTTACTCGACATTACTCGACCCCAGTCTTAACCATACTCGACCATACTGATTTGTACTTGACCCTTATCTTTGCCATTGAAAATAGTCTGAACTATTACTCGACCAGTCTGAAACAGTCTTAACCCATTCTCGACCTGTACTCGACCAATTTTTTCAGTCTAAACCATACTCGACCAAAGGTCTGAACAATACTCGACCAGTCTGAACCATACTTGACCAAAAAACCTATATTTTTTTTTAGCTGTTAATATTAATTTCTTTTTTTCTGACATGAAAACAGCCACAATAAAATAAAGATAAATATATAAATATATTTTTACATCCTTACATGATTTTCAGATTTATCAAATAGAGATAGTTAAATTAAATTATCTTATATAATAATTTAATTATATTAATTTTAAAGTTTTAGAGTTTTGTTAAAAAAACGATTTTCTTTTAAAAGCCACACCTTTACTGAGGGTAATAAAACCTTATTAAGGTGCTTCTTGTTTGGCATGTGTGTGTTTTTTTTTTTTAAACTTAATTTTCCTAAATTCCTAAAGAAAAACTATATAGGTTTCATGGTTATATACAATAGTTATATAATTATCTTTTTAATGAGGTAACAACAGCCAAAAAATCACTGAAATTGTTTAACCTTATATTAGAAATATATCTATTCTTATTATGATTTGGGATAATATATCAAAAGGGGATAAAAAAATTAAAGAAATATATAAAAAAAAAATTCTTTTGATTAGTGGTAAAGTATAAAGTAATACCTCCTGCTTGGGGCAAACTCATTAAAAAGATCACACCTGGTCAGAGAGTATTAATTTCTAATTAACATCCATTAAAAATTGCAACATCCTGTAAAACTTAAATCGCAAGGCCTTTTGAATTCACTAGATAAGTAATACACGAGTTTCAGAAAAAAAGGGCTTTCTTTTTACCTGTAAAACACACATGTACTGAGGTAAATAAACCTTATTAAAGTGCTTCTTGTATGCCATGTCTTTAATTTTGACAAAAGTTATTTAAATTTAATTGAAATAAATTTTTTCTGCAACTTTTTTCCTTTTTTAAATGGTTATCAAGGATTGCTATGGAAGTTCTATTATCATGATTATCTTAAATTCTTGGTTTTACAAAACAAAGGTGTTATTTTCAAAATTTATTAAATTGCTTTATATATATACTATATTTTAAATATATTTTAATAAAAAAAATTGTTCACTGCATTATTAACTAAACTCAACTGACACCATAAATCTATACAAGGCTTAAGTAAATGGTGAAAATTGTCCAGTAACCATAAAATATATCTGAAACATTCAAAAAAATTTGAATAACATTGAAAATATTAGTCACAATTCAGTTTTGAGATTATTTGGTCAGTTTGTTTTATTTTTATTTTAAAGGTGATATATATATGTAAGTGTTGATAAATATGGTGTTGAATTTACATTATATTTATTGTGAAATTTTGGTTTCAATGCCATATTGAATACATTTTAAATTTCAAATTGTTGTTCAAATTTCTAGCCAGGGGAAATAGCTGTTAAAACAGTTCCTAAATTGATGAAATACAGTAGATAGATACAAAAATTAGGTCTAGGTTGGTTAAGACTTAGTCGAGTATGGTTCAGACTAGGTCGAGTATGGTTCAGACTAGGTCGAGTATGGTTCAGACTAGGTCGAGCATGGTTCAGACGAAAATAAAATGGTTAAGTACTGGTCGAGTACAAGTTCAGACTGTTTAGTATGGTTCAGACTAAAGTCGAGTATTATCAAGTAAATTTCAGACCAATTCAGACTGGTCGAGTAAAAATCAGTACAGTCGAGTACAAATATAGGCCATTTCAGACTTTAACTGGTTTGTAGTGATAGTACCCTACATTAGATATGGTCAGAGTTATGGTCCATAACTCTGGACTCAATCATTAGACCGGAACAAAATTTGAACTTGATCTGTAACTTGTCATGATAAAACAGTATACCAAATATCAAATCAATATCTTCAAGCATGAAGAAAAAAAGTGTGGAAAGCTGATTTGCCAGACTGACAGAAGGACAGACAGACAGACGGACAGACAGACGGAGTGCAAACCTAAAGTCCCCTTCGACTTCGTCGGTAGGGGACTAAAAACAGATCATCATAGATAACCTCACTAGTACTCTAACAGTCAAGGTTATAACTCAAATAAGTTATTAGAGAAAAATAACATACATGTGTTATTACAGATACTTTCACTTTGTTTCTAAAAAAAAAATTTTCTTACTCTGTAGTAACATATGTTTGTTATTTGTTAAATAAATCATAAATATTTTTATTTTTAGTGGGCACTTGTGAATTCTTGAAACTTTTGTGCAGTAACTTAATACATAGCCTTGATAACTAATTTCCATTTTTTATCAACCATGATAAATCAATGAGACAAGGCTTTTAAGCGATAAACTTAGCTGTATATTACAGGCATGTAACTTATTATATGAGACACTTGGGAATTACTTGGAAGCTTGTGCAGATATAACTCAATAATTATAACCATATATGGTAGGGACCTAGTGTCTTTTGATTTAAAGACCTTGCTTTATGACCTCGAAATTGAGGTCAATGTCCAAATTAATTTGGCGTTCTAGATTTTGACATTTGCTGTAACTTCTTATTGGGACATGATAAAGTCATTGGGTCTTTTACATTTGGTTGCAGACATGACCTTAAAGAAAGTCAATCAGAAGTGATCTTTTGTAAACCCAGAAGTACCCATTTTTGAATTATTTTCATGTAAAAGTTACTAAAACTTTATATTAAGCTATCATCTATCACCAGAATTGACATTGTGAACTGGAAGTGTATATTTTCCTATCAAAATATGTATACTTGGGGTGGAAAAACCTTCAATTGTTCTCTGAAGAATTGGTTTTTAATTGTTTTTTTTTCTTTTTTTTCTTCCACCTTATATTTTTTTCGTGATATAAAAGTTGTTTCAAAAGATGTGGCTTAAATATTTTTTTTATATGCTATCAATCAGTTTATTGGCTTTTGAAACTGACACTGCTTAAAGGGAAAATTTGTGATTTTTATCTTATAAGTACCTAAATATAAAATACATCTTCATAAAGTTTAATCGATTTATGTGCAGAAATAAAGAAGAGAATCATTACTTAATAGTTGTCCTAAAACAAGAAAAATGCTTGTTTTAGACCCTTTTTGGCCCTTAATTCCTAAACAGTAAGGACAATAACCCCCAAAATCAATTCCAGCCTTCCATTCGAACCTTGTGGTACAATTTCTTAGAGATCCATAAACTTATACTCAAGTTATTCTGGAAACCAAATGTCTTTGGACTCGGACGATGAAGATGCGATCGTATAACAACATTTATTAAAATGGCCATTTCTACAAGGATGGATTTTAGCCCCTAAATCCTTGATTTCAACCACCAATCATCAAGGACATTTACTTATCGAAGAGTTTTCTTTTGTCATCTTGGATATTTTCTATGGTACGAAAAATTCATAAAACTTCCTTATCCCATCAAAAATACTAAACTTCCTTATCCCATCAAAAATACTAAACTTACTATCTTAAATTTTATAATTTGCTTAACATGCTAAATGTCCAATGGAAAATATTTTGTATATTTCTGGACAAAAACAAAGTATCTATGAAAAAACCAGGATAAAGCGAGACTGCCACAGGAACAAGAGGGCATGTCTGATGCAAGCATTTTTTTGTAACATGAACTAAGAACACACTTAACAGAATTTATGGTCAATCATAAAGTTTGTTATTTGACATATTCAACAGTATATAGGCATTCATGGTTGATAAGGTGTGCAAGTCAGTGACATTTGATCTTTTGTCAAATGACATTAACATGATTAATGTGTATAGAAAAAATGTATAAATGAGCAATTTCAGACTGCATCATAATTTATCAATGATACTGTTCCAAAATATGCATGCTTTGTGCAAAAGAATATTTAATAACTGTCTTTTGATGATGTAAATATACATGTATGGTTTTATTGATTTTCAAAAACTAATATTCACTGAGGCCAACAGTCAATGCAACCATATATTTACCATAACAAATAAACAGCTGTGCCATGAGCGCATGATACGCCTGTCGCTTTTTTAAAGAATAAAGTTCAATTTCTTCTCAATGTCATTTCAGAAATTTATGAAAAACTGAAGGGAGATTATCTTAATAGATATAAACCAGTCACCAAAGTTTCATGAAAACTGCTCAAAGCACTTTAAAGATATTGTCCCAAAACTGGAAAATCACCACCTTTTTATGTATAAAATCACATAATCACCCCCTTTTTATGAATAAAATCCCATAATAAGAAACGTAAAATCTAAAAATTATAAAAATCGAAAGGGAGTTTATGTCAATAGATATAAACAATTCACCAAACTTTCATGAAAACTGCTGAAAGCATTTTTGAGTTATTGTCCGAAAACTGGAAAATCCCCCTTTTTTTAATGAATAAAACCCCATAACTCTGAAACGTAAAATCTAAAATTTATAAAATTCAAAAGGGAGCTCATGTTAATAGATATAAACAATTCACCAAAGTTTCTTGTAAATTGGTGAAAGTGTTTGTGAGTTATTGTCTGAAATACCGAAAATCCCCCTTTTTTAATGAAAAAAAACCCATAACTCTGAAACTTTAAATCTAAAATTTATAAAAAACGAAAGGGAGCTCACGTCAATAGATATAAACAATTCTACAAAATTTCATGCGGATTGGTTAAAGCGTTTCTGAGTTATTGTCCGACATGTTGACGACGGACGGACAGAGGTATACCATAATTCATCTAGTAAACGGGCGTATAAAAACAGTAAATACACTTTCATTCAATATTCCTATGATAAAAAAAATTATTTATTGACAATTATTTACCAAAACCAATTGTACATCAAACATTTTACCATATTAATACATTTAAAAAACATGACATTAAAGTGCTATGGGTGTTATTTATCTACAGTTGAATATATTGTTTTATTCAAAATCCAATTCATATATATATATACCACTACATGTATATGGTATAATAATCAAAGCATCATTGGTGCTGCAATCCAGCAATCTTTTAGCTACAGGTAGTCGGACATTTTTACTATATTTCCTATAGTATCCAAGAAACAGATCAAACCATGAAAACTTAACATTGACCAATGAACCTTGAAAATGATGTTTAAAGGTCAGATAAAATGCTCCCCTAGGCACAGCTTGATACTACTGCAGAGGTCGAACCCTGAACAGTTGGGGCAAGTATGGACACTACATTCAAGCTTGATACAGCTCTGAATTTGGATTGTGATTAAATATTTGACACAGCATAGGTTTCTGACAGAAAATGAATGTTGTCAAAGAACTGAAAAAACTTGAAATTGGACTTTTATCTTTTATGTATGGTCCAATATCCAAAATTTATAAATACACAGTTAGATTCAGCATATCCTTGATACTCAATATTTTAATTTCCTTGAAAATTTACATATCCTCATTCAGTCTGAAAATAAAAGATGAATTTGGTATACAGAACAATTGTAGAAGTGTAAATGTTTAAGGCCATAAACACCTAAAATCCATCCCAACCTTCCTGTTTTAGTATGGAACCTTGTGGTACAATTTCATAGAGATCCATACACTTATACACAAGTTATTGTCCTGAAAAAAGAAAAAAATGGGTTTTTTTTTCCCCTTTCTGGCCCTTAATTCCTAAACAGTTAGGACAATAACCCCAAAAATCAATCCAAACCTTCCTTTTGTGCTATGGAACCTTGTGGTACAATTTCATTGAGATCCATAAACTAATTCTCAAGTTGTTGTCTGGAAATCAAATATCTTTTGACAATGACAATGACAACGACGCTGACAACGTCATACCATTATACAACCCCAAAAATTTTGCGGTAGTATAAAAATATATGCCAGACAGATACCGTATAGCGGGTTATTTTCGCGGGTGTAAAATTTCGTGATTTAGGGGCAACAAAGTATACGAAAAATCTTGGCAGTTTTTATTTTGGTGGATTCTTAAATCCCAATTAAATATTTCGGCGGATACTGAAATTGTTGCATATAAAATATTGAAAAATTGAGGAGCAAGTTAATTGATTTGTTTACCTAAATGACGTCTTATTCATTGATCTTGACCGGAACTTTGATGTACTCACTAATTAGGTTATAAAAATTATCAAGACTGATTAACAACTCTTATGCAATTTGACACTAATTAATAAGGGTAATTACCTGATAGAGTACCCTACTCATAATCTATTTGACACTCATTGATAAGGATATACGCACGTGACAGTCATTTTATAAAATACATGTATGCTCAATGCCCTTTTTGTTCATGTTGTTAAACATCCTATACCGTTATTGACCTACCGACCGACGCTTTAGCTATTAGAAAGTAACAAAAGTATGCATTAATTTGGGCGGAATTTTTTTTCGCGATTTTCTTTCATCTGCCAAAATAAGCGAAAATAACCCGCTATACGGTACTTTACCATCTTTTTGTTTGCCAAATATAGTTGACCTTATGTTTGAAGTATCTTTGAAACAGGCTTAATCAGGAAAACTTGATATTGACCAATGAACCATGTAAATGAGGTCAAGGTAAGATGAACGATGCCAGACAGACATGTACACCTAACAATCATTCCATACACCAAATATAGTTGACCTATTTCTTATAGCATCATATAGAGTAGAGGACCAAACTATGGAAAATTAACATTGACCAATGAACAATGAAAATGAGGTCAAGGACAGATGATACCTGCTGAACAGACATGTACACCTTACAATCATTCCATAAATCAAATACTAGTTTTCAGTCATTCATTTTATATAATCATTGCCTCTGTTTTAGATTGAAAACATGGTTACTGATAGGTCAATCTGAAAGAATTGTACTGACCCGGGAACAAAGTCTGAGGTTTGTATACTGCATTTGCAGAAATTAAAGGTCAAGATCAGTATGATGCTTCTGCATAAAGTATTGTCAATTTTAGTGCTACAGTACAAAAGTTATGCACCAAAGACAAATCAGACATGGTTTTAGTATCATAGGGGTCAAAGGTCAGAGTGACCTGGCTTTGGTATAAGACACACCCCAGCCCATGATGCGACTGCATACCAAATTTGGTTAACTTAAGTTTTATGGTACAAAAGTTATGCACCACACATGAAGTGGGACAGACTAAGCGACAAATGGACAGATGCACATGGTGATTCCTATACCTACACAACAACAACAAACAAAAATGAAGATGCAACAGTACAAGGATGTTAGAAAGTAAACTGCCAATAGTATTAAATGATATACTTGGCCTGGTGATTAAACATTTAGAATGTCAAGAGTTGTAAATTATTATACTTGCTTGTTAAATAAGACAATATCAGGTCTCCATATCTTCTCATGATCAATGCGTATATTTTTAATACCACCATAAAGTGAAGGGTCCCATCTGATTTGGTAGTCATGCCAATACTGAAAAATAAAAATAAAACTCCCTGGAGCCTGTATAACTTAATAGTAATAGAGAGAAATTACTGACATTGAGGTCTCTAATAGCTTTCGTTAGAATTCAGAAGAAATAAATTCATGACCAATAAAAAGTATAGGTAATGCTGAAAACACATAATTAATAGCCCCTGGTGATGATTCATAGCCTGACTGGTTTGGTCCTTCAGACCAACCTTTCTTTGTTTGATGTTGCCTACCTTCCCACCTAAAATGCAGATTACCAAAAACATTTTATGACAAATCGTTTCAAATTTTTTTTTTAAAGATTTTTCCCTGCTCTTATGTTGTTTTCTTGTCTAAAACATGTGACTCATGTTGTTGGCCAAACAAAAAAATCCCTACTTGCCTACCTGTGCCTTGTATGGTTGGGTAGGTAAGTAGTGATATTATTTTTTTTTGGCCAACTTTACATGAGTTACATGTTTTTGACAAGAAAACAACGTAAGAGCAGGAAAAAATCTTTTAACAAAAATTTGAAACGATTTGTGTCATAAAATTTTTTGGGTACTAAGGCTGCTTTTAAGGTGGGTAGGTAGGCAACATCAAACAATTGAAATTTTATTTTTGGCCTCATCTTCAAAGACAAAATGAAGGATTTATAGTGGCACTCTATTTAACTTTCAAACACAATATAAAAACAGTGCAACTATCAATCCATCATTTTGCCCCTGAAGAAGGCTAGTGAAGGAATATTTTAGGCATTTCAAATTCAAATTCATATTCCTCACTTTCAATAACTAGTTGTGTTGGATCAACCTCATTAACAGACAAAACAGATTCAAACAAGTTGAAAACATTTTGGTCATCATTTTAGACCTCATTATCTTCAATTTCTTGTACAAAATTCTAGGGATCACAACTTGAACCTGCATTACCACTACTCTTGACATTAATTGCAGACACAATGTTACTAGATATATGTAAATCAGCAAATAATTGCTTTAACAAATCATTCTGCTCAGCTTGTTTACTTTTTGTTAGTTTTTCTCTGGACCTTTGCCTTACTACAAATAGCAGTAGGTTCATAGTCACTTTGACGTTCTTATTTCTCATTTGACCTTTTCCCTGGACTTTCAAAATTCGGAATTGTTCACTGAGTCTGATTCCAGTATTATACACGCCACTACTTGAAGTTCGCCATTTTCTATATGTTTGGTTGTAAAAAAACTACCTGAATCGCCATTATATATTTTCTTTAATATTTTGCGTTAGCTCAGTTTTTAAATAAATAAAAGGTGAGTATTGTGTTGTAACATCGAAATTCTGAATTACTTTCAATTAAATTATTCTATAAATAAAAATGGTCCACGAAAACGAGCATATAAACCAATAAACTGCTTCGCTGAGCGCAGCTGGATACGCCCGCAGAGGTCCAACCCTGAACAGTTGGGGCAAAAATGGACACAATATTCAAGCTTGATACAGGTCTGAATTTGGATTGTAATTAAATATTTGATATACATGTATTATTGGTTTCTGAATAAATGTAGTCAAAGAACTTGAAATTGGTTATATGAAAGATTTCTTGCTGTTGTGCAATACACTGTGCTGTTGCGTAATACTTAGTAAATCTGTTGTCAGACTATAAACAAATAAAATCTTATAACTCGGAAACATAAAATCGAAAATTTATAAAAATCAAAAGGGAGCTTACAAAAATAGATATAAACAATTTACTTAAGTTTCATAAAAAAATGCTGAAAGCATTTATGAGTTATTGTCCGAAAACTGGAAAATCCCCCTTTTTGTAATGAATAAAACCCCATAAATCGGTAACATATAGTCTGAAATTCATAAAAATCAAAAGGAAGCTCATGTCGATAGAAATAAACAATTCACCAAAGTTTCTTGCAAATTAGTGAAATTTTTTTTGAGTTTTTGTCCGAAAACTTGAAAATCCCCCCTTTTTTAATGATTAAAACCCCAAAACTCGGAAACGGTAAATCCTAAATTTATAAAAAATGAAAGGGAGCTCAAGCCAATAGATATGAACAATTCATTAAAGTTTCATGCAAATTGGAGAAATCGTCTTTGAGTTATTGTCTGAAAACTGGAAAATCCCCCCTTTTTAATAAATAAAACCCCAAAACTCGGAAATGGTAAATCTGAAATTTATAAAAAACGAAAGGGAGCTCACATCAATAGATATAAACAATTCACCAAATTTTCATGCATATTGGTTAAAGTATTTTTGAATTAATGTCCGACATGTTGACGACGGACTGACAGACAGACGGACAGACGGACAGACAGACTGTCAACGGTATACCATAATACGTCCTGTAAACGGGCGAATAAAAACTGTACTATTTTAAATTATCATAGGTAACCTTGAATATTTAAATGTGCAGAGAAAATTATATCAGTTACATTAATATAGTTTGGTCCATCCAAAGCGATTTACATTTACCTAATCGGGAATGCCCTTATTAAAATATTTTAAATCTCACAAAGTATAAATACTTTAGCTATTTGACCAACGATGTTTAAAAAAATTAACAAAATCAATCTTACGTCAACTTTCCTTTTTTGAATGGAGACAGACCGGCAGAATAAATGTTCAATGTGCTTAATATCTTGTGCCTTTGCAAGACTTATCATTCATAAACCCACTCTAAACCAGAGACATATATACACATATATATGTCTGTCTAAAATAACAAGAATTCTCCTAAAGCGGACAAGCAGTATATTCTTTAAATTTCTGTAATTTAATACCACAAAAGAAAAAAATCCTGATATTAATTTGATACTCAATATTTTTCCTGGAAAATATTCACATCCTCATTCGGTCTGAAAGTAAGAATTTGGTATACAGAACATGCAGAAGCGTGAATGTCATAAAACCTTGTTATATCAGAAACCATTATAAATGTGAACCTGTATACATAAGACCTCATGGGACGTCACCTAACCACATACAGGTAATATTCAAGTAGCTCTGTTATACCTTAATCACTACCGATACAGAATGACCAATGCAAAGAAAATTCTGAAGATTGTGAAGCATGACCATTCATGATTTTAGAGGATTCTTAGGTGGGGGATTGCCAGAACGATTTAAATTCTGACTTGCATACATGTCTCTGTGTTAACTTATAAATAAAATGCTCCGCAGAGGTCGAACCCTGAACAGTTGGGGCAAGTATGGACACAACATTCAAGCTTGATACAGCTCTGAATTTGGATTGTGATTAAATATTTGACACAGCATAGGTTTCTGACACAGAATGAATGTGGTCTAAGAACTTAAAAATTTTAAATTGGACATTCACCTATTATGGTCCAATATCCAAAATCTAAATACATGGTTAGATTCAGCATATCAAAGAACCCCAAGAATTCAATTTTTGATGAAATCAAACAAAGTTTTATTTTGGACCCTTTTGACCTCAATGTGGACAAAGTTGATAACGGGGCCCAAAAATCAAAAATCTAAATACATGGTTAGATTCAGCATATCAAAGAACCCCATATATTCAATTTTTGTTGAAATCAAACAAAGTTTAATTTTGGACCCCGATTTGGACCAACTTGAAAACTGGGCCTATAATCAAAAATCTAAATACATGTTTAGATTCAGCATATCAAAGAACCCTAAGAATTCAATTTTTGTTAAAATCAAACTTAGTTTAATTTTGGACTCTTTGGACCTAAATGTAGACCAATTTGAAAACGGAACCAAAAATTAAGAATCTAAATACACGGTTGGATTCGGCATATCAAAGAACCCCAATAATTCAATTTTTGATGAAATCAAACAAAGTTTAATTTTGGACCCTTTGGACCTCAATGTGGACCAATTTAAAAACGGGGCCCAAAATCCAAAAACTTAATACAAGGTTAGATTCAGCATATTAAAGAACCCCAAGAATTCAAGAATAAAATCCCATTGAAATTGGTCAAGAGATAAGCAATTTATACGAAGTATCTTCTTTTGCACAATACTGTGCAATTGAATATTTCTTGCTATTGCGCAATACTGCACAATTGACAATTTCTTGCTATTGCGCAATATTGTGCTATTGGATATTTCTTGCTATTGCGCAATACTGTGCAATTGAAGATTTCTTGCTATTGCGCAATATTGTGCAATTGAAGATTTCTTGCTATTGTGCAATACTGTGCAATTGAAAATTTCTTGCTATTGCACAATACTTATTATATAATAATTTACACATCCTGTTTGGTGTGTATCTCCTACCATATCATTATTATTTGCTTTTAAATATAAATCAGAAATAACCAACTTAAAATGGAATTTTTTGAACCCCCTTATGATTCATCACCCCCAAACTCAATCCCAGCCTTCCCTTTGTGGTATGGTACCTTGCAGTACAATTTCAGAGAGATCCATACACTTGAACATAAGTTATTGTCTGGAAACTAGAAAAATGTGTTTTTTGGCCCCTTTTTGGCCCCCAATTCCTAAACGTTTCGGGCAATTACCCCCAAACTCAATTCCAGCTTTCCCTTTGTGATATGGAACCTTGTAGTACAATTTCAGAAATATCCATACACTTACACACAAGTTATTGTCATGAAACTAGAAAAATGCTTGTTTTTTGCCCCTTTTTTGGCCCCTAATTCCTAAAATTTTGAGGCAATTACCCCCAAAATCAATCCCAGTATTCCCTGTGTAATATTGAACCTTGTGGTACAATTTCAGAGAGATCCATACACCTGAACACAAGTTATTGTCTGGAAACTAGAAAAATGCTTATTTTTAGTCCCTTTTTGGCCCCTTATTCCTAAACGTTTCGGGGAATTACCCCCAAACTCAATTCCAGCTTTCCCTAAGTGATATGGAACCTTGTAGTACAATTTCAGAAAGATCCATACACTTACAAGCTATTGTCATGAAACTAGAAAAATGCTTGTTTTTTGCCCCCTTATTCCTAATATTTTGAGGCAATTGCCCCCAAAATCAATCCCAGCATTCCCTGTGTGATATGGAACCTTGTGGTACAATGTCAGAGAGATCCATACACTAACACACAAGTTATGTCTGGAAGTTACAAAAATGTGTAAGGGAGGTAATTCAAATGATGCATTTGATTTATCTCCCTTACACTGCTTTAAATTATGTTTTGTACTAAAGTATTTGTCCATTAACCAGGACAACCTTATTTTTCCCTTTTTGCCCCTTATTCAGTCGGAAAGCTGACCCCGGTTTGACCCCATTTCTTAAAGCAACAATGGAAGTCATGTGACTACCATATTTGGGCATTTTTTTAGTCATATTTTCTTAACTGAAACGACTCTGTTTCCTCCAAAAAGTCATATCAAATGAAACCAAAGCATGCTGTACGTTACAAATGCCAATTGTGTATACCTTTTAGAAGTTCTCACATAAAAATTGTTTTGATTAAGCGTACTGAATTAGAATACGAAGCCTTCAAACCAAAGGTCGTCACTCGTTGCGTCAAGTTTTTTCAACACATCAGTTAAAATTTCTTTCTTAACTTCTGGGGAACCTATGCTGAATTTAAAATATGTGATGAGGCTTTTTATAAACTGGCCTGTGTCAAATTTGTGCCACTTAATACGCTGTAATACGCAAATGTGCCACTTCGATGTGTCAATATTTCTGTCCGAGCGGTACCGATAGTAATTTACGAGTTACGTCCCTTTGTTGACACTTTTCATGAACAAACTATCAAGCACCATATGCTGTTATTTACAAGTGGATGTTTTTAAAATAGTTTATTATCTTTTTACTAAATATATTTTTTATTTTAAAGACATATGTAAAACAATTAGGTAAACACATTTTATCATTTTTACAACAATTTCAGAACTGAAATAGGGCTTTAATATTACAGTACAGTAAATGTTACTCTGTGCCATAATATATTACTCCAAGAGTAACTTTAATATTTATATTTTGATAAATATTTTTACTGCTTTAACCAAATTATATAAACACAGAAATAAATTTCTACTACATAAAGACAAGGGGTAGCCAAAATATGCTTGAATACTTGACCTAGACAGGGTTAAAATGATCACAAACAGGAATTCCTTTTCAATACTGATACCTGATCCTACCTTTTCCCTCTAGGATATACATTTAAAAGAGATAATAATCGAAGTATTCTCAATGTAAATTCTTCATAATTTGAAATAAAAGGAAATTGGTTTGCAATCCTTGTATGATTAAACTAAATATAACAATAAATTTTGTCTCATTGATTCCATGCAAGTTCTACTGAATGGACTCAAATTATAAAAAAGCCTAAACCAATGGCTTTAAATGGTTTATAATCATGAACTTGCGAATAAATAAGAACGAGAAAGATTCGATTTCATATTTTCCTTCTATTTAATCAAAATAAATAACTATGCATATTAAAAGTACTTCATAGCAGTTTCTGAGTGCTAAGTCAACAATTATGTTTTAGATCACAAGTCATGAACTAGTAAGTCACACTTCATGTAAGTATGAAAATGCTTTGAATAAGAGTGATTAAAATGCAAGTCTGAAAGAGATTGTTTTAAGTTCAAAGGACAACCCTTTTGCAGGATTCCTTGATTCATCACAAAAAAAAATATTCCCAACAATGAATGAGTTTTTTTTTTTAATCATCTTAAGGTGGTGCACAGACAGTATAAAATTTCCTTACCTTATTGTTTTAGTTAACGTCAAACATTTTACTTAAAGAGAAAAATTAATCCAGTCAAATTTACAGCTGAACTCGCCATTGCTTTTTTTAAACAAACACACTAAATGACACTAAATGTGTGTACATTCTGTTCAAATGCATGTTGACATGATGTGTACCGGTAAAACCAAAAACTACAATAACAAAAAATGTCTTTCTTTTGGAATTTAGTTCAAACGGGGTTTCCTATGGGGTGACAGAACGTTAGACTTGATTTTTTTAAATTTGAGATACGTATTATTAATTTGTTTTATAGTATAGATTTATATAATCTTTGTTTATTTGTGAAAAAAGAATAAAAAAAAATAACAGACAATTTCGAATAATTTATAAACGTAATTGTTAAAGGAGGGCCAATATTTAGGTATTATTTTCTTTAATAATTAGACACATGCTTAAAATATAGAAAGAAATCTATTTCTGACCCCAATGGCATGTTATTCATAGAAAATAAAAAAAATTCCAAATTGCCGCCAAAATATTTTTTCTGCGAAATTAACGCAATTTCAGAATGGCGGGCTTTAATATCAGTCCCATTGTTGTCTTAAGAAAGTAGCAACAACGGTCGTTTCTAAGGGCTTGCTTTCCGACTGATTCCTAAACGGTTTGAGCCATAACCCCCCCCAAAACAAATCCTAACCATCCCTTTGTGGTATGGAAACTTGTGGTATAATTTCACTCGTTCCACAAGTTATTGTCTGGAAACTAGAAAATGCTTATTTTTGGCCCCTAATTCCTTAACTGTTGGTACCATAACCCCCAAAATCAATCCCAACCTTCCTTTTGTGGTATTGAACCTTATAGTAAAATTTCATAGAGATCCATTCACTTAAACTAAAGTTTAAGTGTGAAAACCAATGTGTCTTCGGACAAAGACAACGACGGACGACGCCAACGTCATGCCAATATACCACTGCGGTCGTATAAAAATTAATGACTAAACATGAATAATGAGAAAAACTTATTCTTTTGTGAAAAAACTTATTCATCAAGATCTCTTCTACAGGTTCTATGGGCATAGGTCAATTGTTAATACCCAATCTTGGTTCTAGTGCATTGTACCTACCTTAAATACTGCTGCCTTATGGGAAACCAGCTAAATGAGACAAACATGCATGAAGAATATGCAAACTCTGACCTGTAAAAGCCTAAAAATGTTTGGCAAGCACTTGTACTTATTTGGGTAGTGAAATATCATCTTCAAAAGCTCTTGGCTAGTAAGGTTTGTCAGAAAATTTCATCCCCTACTAGAAATATAGGGAACAAAAGACCAAGTACAAAAAACAAGCTATCGTCAATTATATATCTTATATATTAAAATAAATGGGGAATGTGTCCATGGGACACAGATGATGCCCCCTGCTTGCATATTATATAAAGTTATAAAGGGACATAACTGAAGAACGGTAAAAGTGACACTACCCAAATTTGTACTTGATCTGAGTTTTGTGGTAATAGGTATTGTTTATAAGTTTCATAATATTTGGTTGAGGCAAACTTAAGTAAGAGAATGGAAACGAAAAGTTCAGCAATTTTTCCATTTGTAAAGGGGCATAACTCTAGAACGGTTAAAGTGACACCACCGAAATTCAAACTTGATCTGTGTTTTGTGGTAATAAGCATATTGTATAAGTTTCATAACATTTGGTTGAAGCAAACTAAAGTTAGAAAACGGAAACGAAAAATTCAGCAATGTTTCCATTTTAAAGGGGCATAACTCTAGAATGGTTAAAGTGACGCCACCAAAATTCAAACTTGATCTGTGTTTTGTGGTAATAAGCATTTTGTATAAGTTTCATAACATTTTGTTGAAGCAAACTAAAGTTTGAGAGCGGAAACCAACTTTGGGACTTTGGGACGTACGTACAGACGGACATTGGTAAAACTTAATGCTACTGAGGGGGCATAATTAATTAAGGAACAACAAACATTGTTCTGGTATTCTCCATACCTGCAAACATACAATTATAACATATATCTTTGTTAATACTGTCAAAAGTCTTGGATTTTTTTATACAAATGTATCTTGCAGATTTCAGAAAAAAGTCTTTCATAGTTAGTTCCAGAGTAAAGTACGAGCAGTCAACTTTCTGAAGAAATAAATTTTATACTGCAATATTGGGTAATATTTTAATTAATTTGTACTTGAATATCTATGATGCATATTTGAACATCTTTATAAATGTAGGCTTTATTTTTTTATTTCTTTTAATTTATCAAGGCATAGTCAGTCAATTTTAAACAGCTCTTCGGTTTATTTTGTAGCATGCTGATGCTGACCCACTTTTAAGCATATCACTTTTAGAGAAAATGTGTGAATTCTGAAAATGCCAAACTTAATATTATATAGAAAATTGAAGTCATCTGAAATGTCTATAAACTTACCATCTGCAGCCAGACATTTGTCTTCATTATCTGATTCTTTTCATCCTGTAATACATACAAATGTATATAAAATACTGAATTCAAATTTGAATTGGTAAAATCCACAATTTTGCATAAATTTTATCTGACTGAAGGGCAACATCTAAATTTTTTCAATTCTTTTAAACTTTTAATCAATATCTTAGAAAAATGTAGGCTTGAGTGCGCTAATTTTACAATGCAATTTTTCATATAAACTTATATTTACAAAGTTCATAACTATTTTAAAAATAGTTGATCTGCACTGATTTTCGAACTTGTTTGAGACATTGCTGATTTAAACCTTTGCATGCTTAGATATAAATTTCATAAATATCTGGCAATAATTGTACAGTTGAATGTGCTTATAATGCAACTAACCATAGAATTAACATTTCTAAGGAACATAACTACTAGAAAAATAATTCATTAGTGCTAATTTTTATACTTGTTCTAAAAATTGCTGATATATATGCTTTCTATCTTACAATTCAATTTCAATATAATTAATATTTCCAAGGGGTATAAATCTTTAAAAAACAGTTGATCTGCATTTGAACTGAGTCTGTAACATTGGTGACATAAAACTTTTGATATTTGGATAAAAATTCTGGCAAGAATTGTACATGTGTGATCATGACCGCTTACAATGCAATTTTCCATATAATAAATAATTTTTATAACTAGATGCTCTAAATAGTCTGTCTTGCTCACCTAGTATATATAAAAAAGAAGATGTGGTATGATTGCCAATGAGACAACTCTCCACAAGAGACCAAATGACACAGAAATTAACAACTATAGGTCACCATACGGCCTTCAACAATGAGCAAAGCCCATACTGCACAGTCAGCTATAAAAGGCCCCGTCTATGTGCATCTTCAACATTGGACACTTTCCAAAACTGTGGACTAGAGTAGAATTCATGACAAAAATCTCTTTTTTATTGATTTTATAAAATAAAAAGATGTGGTATAATTGTCAATGAGACAACTCTCCACCAGAGACCAAATGACATAGAAGCCTTCAACCATGAGAATTAAATGCTCCGCAGGTCACAGCTTGATACCTCCACAGAGGTCAAACCCTGAACAGGTGGGGTCAAGAATGGACACAACATTAAAGCTTGATAGAGCTCTGAATTTGTATTGTGATTAAATATTTGACATAGCATAGGTTTCTGACACAAAATGAACGTGGTCTAAGAACTTAAACATTCAAAACCCAACATTTACCTATCATGGTCTAATATCCAAAATCTAAATATTTAGCATATCAAAGAATCCAAAGAATTCAATTTTGATGAAATCAAACAAACTTTAATTTTGGACCCTTTGGACCTCAATGTGGACCAATTTGATAATGGGGCATAAAATCAAAAAACCCTTGGGGGCCAGCTGAGTCCCACCTCCGGGTGCGGGATTTTCTCTCTGTGTTGAGGCCCATTGGTGGCCTTCGGCTGTTTTCTGCTCTTTGGTCTCTTTGACACATTCCTCATTTTCATTCTCAATTTTGTTATACACGGTTAGATTCAGCATATATTCATTTTTTATTGACATCAAATAAAGTTGATTTTTGGACCCGATTTAGTCAAACTTGAAAACTGGGCCCAAAATCCAAAATCTAAATAAATGGTTAGATTCAGCATATCAAAGAACTCCTTAAAATCAATTTCTTATATTTCTGATAAACTAAGTTTAATTTAGGACCCTTTGGACCTTAATGTAGACCAATTTGAATAAATGGGGAATGTGTCCATGGGACACAGATGATGCCCCCACTTGCATATCATACAAAGTTATAAAGGGACATAACTGAAGAACAGTAAAAGTGACGCTACCCAAATTTGTCCTTGATCTGAGTTTTGTGGAAATAAGTATTGTGTATAAGTCTCATAACATTTGATTAATAAACAGCTGCGCCATGAGCACATGATACGCCCGTCACTTTTTCAAAAAATAAAGTTCGATAACTTCTCAATGTCATATTAGAATTCATGAAAAACTAAAGGGAGGTTATCTTGATATATATAAACCAGTCACAAAAGTTTCATGATAATTGCTCAAAGCATTGTACGAAAACTTGAAAATTTTGGAAAATCCCCCCTTTTTATGAATAAAATCACATAACTCCGAAATGTAAAATCTAAAATTTATAAAAATCGAAATTGAGCTCAAGTCAATAGATATAAACAATTCACCAACTTTCATGAAAACTGCTAAAAGCATTTTTGAGTTATTGTCCAAAAACTGGAAAATCCCTCTTTTTTTAATGAATAAAACCCGATAACTTGGAAACGTAAAATCTAAAATTTATAAAATTCGAAAGGGAGCTCATGTTAATAGATAAAAACAAATTCACCAAAGTTTCTTGTAAATTGGTGAAAGTGTTTTTGAGTTATTGTCTGAAATACGGAAAATCCCCCTTTTTCAATGAATAAAACCCCATAACTCGGAAACTTTTAAATCTAAAATTTATAAAAAACGAAAGAAAGCTCACGTCAATAGATATAAACAATTCACCAAAGTTTCTTGTAAATTGGTGAAAGTGTTTTTCAGTTATTGTCTGAAAACTGGAAAATCCCCCTTTATTAATGAAAAATCAAAGCACTGAAAGCGCTGTAGGCAGTTAACCAAAAACCAAGGCAAACGTAATTATGAAAACTGTGGCAATGTTGCTTCAATTTTTTTTTAAGATTTGAAAGAACAAACATTAAACATTCGTATATTGTACATTTATGTTCAATAAATGAATTGATTATTAAGGCAAATTAATTAATATTTCATCAAGGTTTTCAAAAGCAACTCATATATCAATGTAAATGACCCCCATCTTCATCCCCAAGTGCATGATGTGACTCCATACCTAGTTTGGAATAAAATGACAGGTGATTATAAAACAGTTGGTCAAACATTCTTGGGCTTTACACTGCTTGAAAGATTTAAATGTTTTCTTTAAAATGAGCCAAAAATGAAAATTATGATAGGCCCAGAAATAATTTAATAAACAATTAAAGTAAATTCAATAATCTTGACTCATTTTTTGTATCAAATTTTTTTTATAATAAACAAGAAATAATTGTAACAGGATGCCGTTACGAAGTCACAAACAAAGCCCCCATAATTCGTCATTCCCATGGTCTCCTGACATTGGGCAAATTCCAGTTCATATTGGTTTGGTCTAGTAAAGTGATATGCATATGTGACACCTAGGAGATTGACCCTGTATGTCATTCAAATCTTTTAGAAATGATGAACAGGAATAAATATGGTTTAGATGTGGGTATCTCGACCGTTTACAAGTTCTCAAACAGGAGGGGGTGGGGTGACCCCAGGGACTCCCCCTATATTTCATTTGATTTGTTATATTGTCCCATACATGAATACATATGGTTTAGGGGTGGGGATCTCGACCATTTCCAAGTTCTCAAACAGGAGGGGGTGGGGTGACCCCAGGGACTCCCCCTATATTTCATTTGATTTGTTATATTGTCCCATACATGAATACATATGGTTTAAGGGTGGGGATCTCGACCATTTCCAAGATCTCAAACAGGAGGGGGTGGGGTGACCCGAGGAACTCCCCATATATTTCATTTGATTTGTTATATTGTCCCATACATGAATATATATGGTTTAGGGGTGGGGATCTTGACTGTTTACAAGTTCTCAAACAGGAGGGGCGGGGGTGTCCCCAGGGACTCCCCCTATATTTCATTTGATTTATTTTATTGTCCCATACATGAATGTATATATATGGTTTAGGGGTGGGGATCTCAACCATTTCCAAGTTCTCAAACAGGAGGGCTTGGGGTAACCACAGGGACTCTCCCTATATTTCATTTGGTTTGTTATATTGTCCCATACATGAATATATATGGTTTAGGGGTGGGGATCTCGACCGTTTACAAGTTCTCAAACTGGAGGGGGTGGGGTGACCCCAGGGACTCACTCTATATTTCATTTTTGATTTATTTTTTTGTCTAATACATGAATATATATGGTTTAGGGGTGGGATCTCAACCATTTCCAAGTTCTCAAACAGGAGGGGGTGGGACGATATATGGGGACTCCCCCAAATTATTTTGACAATAATAATAATAAAACTGTTTACAAGTTCTCAAACAGGAGGGGTTGGGGTGACCCCAGAGACTCCCCATATATTTCATTTGATTTGTTATATTGTCCCATACATGAATATATATGGTTCAGGGGTGGGGATCTCGACCGTTTACAAGTTCTCAAACAGGAGGGGGTGGGGTGACCCCAGGGACTCACTCTATATTTCATTTTTGATTTGTTTTATTGTCCCATACATGAATATATATGGTTTAGGGGTGGGGATCTCAACCATTTCCAAGTTCTCAAACAGGAAGGGGTGGGATGGTACTGGGGACTCCCCCAAATTATTTTCATTTGATTTCTTTTATTGTCCCATTCAAGTATATATATTGTTTAGGGGTGGGGAATGCGACGGTTTACAAGATAAAAGTACATCTTCAAATTGAAGGGGGTTGGGATGACCCCCAGGGACTCACCCTATATTTTGATTGATTTTTTGTATTGTCCTGTTCTCATTACTGAAGACTGCATGTGTCTATCACCTACTGAGTCATTTGAAAATTTAAAAATATAAAAATCCCATAGGGTTCTATAGTAAACCCCTCCCTTCTTGAGGCCCCTCCAAATACCCCTAAATAGACCCCAATGCACAAACAAAAGATTAATGGCTCCGCTAGACATGTTAGTCTCATATTTTTTTGAAACCCTAAGTAAATCTGACAAACGGTCAAAGTTGTCTTCTTAGACATGTTAGACGGTTTGAGTGGATTCGGTGTGACTTGTCTCGGGGACGAGTTGTCCACATTACTTAAAACATCCCATCAACGTCGATTTCCGCATCTGTTTTCATGACCTCGTTTCATTCATAAAATAACAACCTTATTTGGCAAGATAAGTTAGAAATTACCACCCACTTATATAACTTTATTTCCTCTATCATAGAGATTTGTTGTACATGAACAATAT